GATCATTGTACCACTGTGCAGACCCGTACCCTATCGGTATATCATTAGGCTACCTGGTCGGTAGGCCTTAGGCAAGTATCAGATATAGTCCAGGGACTATATCATCTCCAAAGCAGTGACTAGCAGGAACAGCAGAGACGGATCCCAGGGTAGTGACAAATTGAACGCCGTACAGTACAAATCACTTTGGAAGTTTGATTGACTCTTGACATCAAACATCATAGCAAACAACACGCCACGAACCCCCACCAGCTCAAATATTAGTCAGGCACCAGTTGCGCAACAGCCACAATCTTCAACGGAAGATCTGAGGGGCATGGTCAAGCAACTTCAGGAATACATCCAATAACTGGAAGGTCGGCTTGCAGCCAAGTCTGTTAAAGTCAGACCACCTGAACCATTCAATGGGAATAGGTCCAGACTACGAGCGTTCCTGATCCAGTTGGATATGTATATCCATATGAACAGGGAAAAACTCACCACCAAGGCAGAAAGGGTCTTGCTCGCAGCAACCTATCTGACAGGACCAGCGTTCGATTGGTTCGAACCCTTCATCAGGGATTATCAAGAACATGAAGAGGACAAATGAGCCAACGAGACCGATGAAATATTCGCCAGCTATGACGCATTCAAGAAGCGACTTGAGAACACCTTCGGTGACATTGACAAGGAAAGGAATGCTGAGAGACAGCTATGGCGACTCAAACAAACGGGATCTGTAGGGGAATATGCGTCAAAATTCCAACAGATCATATCCCACTTGAACTGGGATGAAGATATGAACATCACACGCTTTGAGGAAGGGCTGAAACCGGAAATCCAGGAGAAGCTGATCTAGATGGAACAACCCAATAAACTCAGCGGGATGATCGCACAAGCAGTTAAGATTGATAACAAACTGCAAGACTTCCATATGCGCAGATGAGAACGAAGCAACTGGAATAGCTTTAATAACAGGCGCACCACGAACTATCGACCAAACGATAGAAGGCCAGCTCAACCAAGGAGCCAAGGGTACACAGACCCTTATAGGCCACAACTAATGGAGTTGGATGCAGCTCACACGGCACTTTCCAACGAGGAAAGAGAACGGCGACGCAAAGAGAAACTATGTTTCCAGTGCGGGAAGCCGGGACATATATCAAAGGCCTGTAAACAACCCTGGAAGGGTAAACAGGATGGAAAGAAACAATTACAAGCCATGAAGGAGCTCAGTGCCACGATCAGTAGAGATGGTTATGACACCACCGGCATCATTAAGCCTCAACAAAAGAAAAGTGATAAACGACTCAGGAAGCTGTACAAGGAATGTATGGTATTGAGTGATGAGGAAATTGAAATGGAGCTTAAGAATGAAGACTCCACCGATTATGAAAGCGCAAACGATGATTGGCCTACTAAGAACTCAAATGTACTTGCAGCCACCAATCAAGAGTCACTAATCGGTGATGGACCCAGCTCCGACGAATGGGAGAATTTCACGGCTGAAAATTACATCCAAAGGCTGACAGCACTAATTAACGAAAGACATTGGGTTATCGGCCCCGATTTGGAAAATACTGACCAGGATGAGCCAGATCAAGAGGATTTTCCCGCGATCGGCTGGACCACTATTGACCGACCTATCAATCCACTTGATGAAGAGTACGGAACTCAGTGGGTAAGCCTTGGTCCTAATAAGGAGCAGCCCCATGAGATTCCCAAGACACCTAGATTTAAATCCCCACAAGATGATGATGAAGCGAATCAATATGCCGCATGGCTACGGGAGCCAGATCAAGCACAGTTAGCAGAATTAGAAGCACACTAACTAAATATAAGAATCCTTGAACGAGTCAAGGGAGGAGTAAAAGGATGCACACATCAGAATTTGGAATGTTGGACTTGAGTTGAATCTTAGGAACAACATATGACACACTGCAAAAAGCACACGGTATATTGCCGACACTGCAGGCAATGGAACCGAGAATATCACCATGAGCTGAAAAGGGTATTGGAGAAAAGACTGCCAGGACCATTTCATGGGAAGTGTGACTATGACTAGTGTCTGTGCAAGCATTTCCAAGGACACCCACGACACAAGCAAGTATCATGGATTACTTATTACAGCAACAATTGCAGCATCCATCACGATAACAAGTATATGGTAAAGTTTTGGCCAGAAGTACCGGCAATCATGAAAGAGAATGACACCTGTCTATGCTGGAAGCTCGAATGCTCCTGCAGAGGATATAGGCGACACTCAGAACACGACGCAATGCATTGGACGGCATGCTTTGAGGACTAATACATGGTACATTACTAAGACAAATTGACTGGAGGATATTTCCCCGTGCCGCCACACATGATGAAGGCACCAAAATGGGAAACAGGATACCTCACAGCGACAGTGCAACATAGGAAGCACTTAAGAATAGTTACAAACATTCTCAACCAATCAGCCAAAGTGATGATTGATTCGGGAGCAACAGGCAACTTTATGAACCTAGCATTCATGAAGAAGCTAGGGATTCTAGGAAAGACAAAGGCAGTACCTGAACTAATTGTAGGTCTGAATGGAGAGAACTTGGGAACTCTCTTAATCATGACTGAATCAGGACCAGTCCTAATGGTTGTGTTGGGACATCTCGAATATCTGAACTTCGATATTGTGCCAACAGGATGGTATGATGTGGTGTTAGGGATTCCATGGCTCAGGAATCATAACCCAGCGATTAACTGGAACACGAACCAAATCCAGTTCAACTGCAAATGCCCACGACAGGACCGGCATCAAGGGGAAACCGGGGCCTTACGGCGCGTTAGGTCGAGGGACAGCGACAACGACGCTAAGCAGTCAAAGGGTGGACTGAAGAAAGCAACAACTGGCCAGCGAACAACAGCAGTGTTAGCAGCAACCAAGCCATCACAAAGGACCGTGATGATGGAGCTACCGGGATGGGCACCGGAGCGAGATAGTGATTACGCAGAAATCATGACGCCAGATGAAGATTCCAGAGAAAACTCAGAAATCAGGGAAACTGATCAAAGAAAAGTTATTCCCAGGAATACCACGGACCCAGGAATAACGTTGCCCTGAGAGTATATCAAATTCAAAGTATTGTTTAAACAGCCCAAACAATATGTCCTACCAGAACACGGCAAACATGACCACAAGATTCCTCTGAAGGAAGGAACCTCGCCAGCATGCAAGAAAATATATCAAATATCAGAAAAAGAGCTTCAAGCGCTCAAGGAATATATCGATGAACAACTACGACTAGGAAAGATACGACCATCGAACTCACCGGCAGGACATGGCGTACTCTTTGTATAAAAGAAAGACGGCAGTCTACGACTATGCGTGGACTACAGACCACTGAATGCAATCACAATCAAGGATCGCTATCCACTTCCGTTGATCCACGAAATCCAAGATCGAATTCGTGGAGCAAAGTGGTTCACAAAGTTAGATATTACAGATGCGTACAATCACATCCGCATCGTAGAAGGGGAAGAATGGAAGACAGCTTTCAGGACAAAATTCGGACACTTCGAATACCTGGTTATGCCATTTGGATTAACCAACGCACCAGCATCATTCAAGAGATTCATCGAGGAGGTACTGCACAAGGTCTTGCATTGCTTTGTTGTAGTCTACCTGGATGACATCTTGATCTTCTCCAAGAACAAGAACGAACATGTGGAGCATGTCAAAGAAGTTCTACAGGAACTCCAGAAAGCAAACATCTATTTGAAACTCAAAAAATGTGAATTCTATGTCCAAGAGACCAAATTCTTAGGACATTAGATATCCACTAAAGGCATTCATATGGACCAGAACAAAGTCAAGGCAATTGTTGAATGGCCTCGACCAAAGAACGTCAAGGAAGTCCAGCAATTCATCGGACTTATCAATTATTACCGACGATTCATTACCGGTTATGCAAACATTATGCACCCACTCTTTGCGCTACTCAAGAAGGCAAAGGAGTTCGAATGGGACAACGGCTGTGAAGACGCCTTTTATGAAATAAAACAATGAGTTACTAAGGCGCCGATACTAGTGTAACACGACCCAGAAAAAGAAATAACCATTGAAACTGACGCATCCGACTATGCGATTGGAATGAGAATGACGTAACCAGGACCTGATGGGAAACCGCGACCAGTCGCTTTCCACTCAAGGAAGTTGATTCAAGCAGAACTCAACTACGACATCCATGACAAAGAAATGCTAGCTATAGTGGTAGCATTTAAGGTCTGGAGGGTATACCTGGAAGGAGCAAAGCATACTATCATTGTGAAAACGGATTATAAAAATCTCACGTTCTTCACAACAACGAAAGAACTCACCAGGCGACAGGCCAGGTGGGCTAAGACACTTTCACAGTACGACTTCAAAATTGTGCACTGCAAAGGAACAGAAAATGGACAAGCAGACGCACTTAGTTGATGACCTGACTATGAACTTCAAGGGAAGACAATCGAACCAGCGATATTAAAAGAGCAAAAAGATGGGACGTTGACCTACAACCACCACGTGCTCGCAGCAACAATCGAATTGAAAGAAGACCCGTTAGTTTAAAGGATCACTAAAGAAACAAAGAAAGACAGAATTATCCAGGAAACACTTGAAAATTCAGCAGACAATGAGAACCTCACCACAGATGACAAAGGATTAATATACTTCCGAGGACTCATCTACATACCCAAGTATATGAGAACCGAGATCATCGTAAAACACCACAACGACCCAATGCATGGTCACATGGGAACCGAAAAAACGGCTGAAGCCATTTCAAGGAATTATTACTTTCCAAACCTGAGAAGGAAGGTACAGGGATACATTCACCAATGCGAGACTTGCATCAGAGACAAGCCAGCTRGGCACCAGCCATACGGCAAGATRCAATCACYAGAAGCACCAAAAAGACCATGGGAATGGATTACAGTTGATTTTGTTGGACCATTACCAAAGTCAAAAGGATAYRATTATCTAATGACGGTAACTGACAGACTCACAAAGTTCATCCATCTAGTCCCAACAACAATCAACATGACGGCAACGCAGTTAGCAAGCTTGCTCATGGGACACGTGATAGTACATCATGGGATGCCACGGTACATCACATCAGACAGAGACAAACTGTTCACATCAAAATTTTGGCAATCATTGATGGATTTGATGGGAATTGAGCAAAGACTCATGACTGCATATCATCCACAAGCCAATGGACAGACCGAACGAGCGAACCAAACGATCGAGCAATATTTGCGACATTATATGAATTACCAATAAGATGATTGGGTAGTTTACTTACCAATGGCACAGTTTGCATACAACAACGCTGTTCACTCAACCATAGGGGAAACACCTTTCTTCGCTAATTATGGATACAACCCCACATTGATTGAAGAACCAAGGAACAAAGTACCCACCGCGGAAGAAGCCGAAGAAATGGTGGATACCATCAACTATTTGAGAACTTAACTTTCAAGGGACATTAAATTTATGAACCTCCGCATGGCAATTTACTACGACAGGAAGCACGGGAGTGCTCCAGACCTGAAAAAGGGGGAGAAAGTTTACCTGCTACACAGAAACATCAAAACAAAAAGACCAAGTCAAAAACTAGACCATCAAAAAATCAGACCCTTCGCAATTGAAGAAAAATTAGGGCCAGTCAATTTCAAACTAYGACTACCAAAAAGCATGTCAAAAATTCATCCAGTATTTCATATCTCATTATTGGAACCAGCGCCAGAAAATGCAAAAACCGCTGAAGATGTGGAAATCAACGACGACACGGAGCAAGAATACGAAGTTGAACAAATCCTGAATCACAAGCGAGTCAGCGGAAAACCATATTACCTTGTGAAGTGGAAAGGATATGATACCTCAGAAAACACATGGGAGCCTATCGAGAACCTGACGGGCTGCCACCAACTCATTCAACAATACTGCTCGAAGAAAGATCGAAATTCTCCCAGAAGGAAGGGGGCATCTGATCAATCTCCGCCACCATCTGACTAAAATCAGGATTATCAGAAGTCGCAGCCAGCTGTTGGGCTTCAATAGCAGGATCGGGCTGATCGGACGACTTCTTCTCATCCAAGATCCGCAACAACTCAGCATCATGTTCAGACATCTTGAAACCACGCTCCTTAAGAAACTTTTGTTGTTTACGAAGACGGGAGTGTCGGGCCAAGGACTCGGCAACCTTCTGCTGCTTTTCCATCAACTCCTTCTGAATCTTTTCTAAATGTTCTTGCAATTGTCGAAGCTCGGGATAAAGGAGCTCTAATTCGTCATCGGTCGCGGAAAGCTTGGAAGCGATCTTCTTCTCAGCACGCTTGAGAAGATCCCACTCCTTTTCGGTATGAAAATCCTTCTTGCACGAGCGACCCTGACGAGTGCACGACGCACACTTGGAATAATAACGAGTTTAATCCATCACGCAATCCTCACCGGACGAGACACAGGAATCACACGGTGTCGAGGTCATGAAGCCGTTCTCAAGGATGTACTCTTCTTGACGAACACGACCAGCAATTTGATCACGGTCGCAAGGAAGCTTCGGTGCACTTTTAAGAATAGTGTCAGCACGATGCTTGGGCATGATGGGTGAACATGGTTAAAAGAAGAAATACCACTCACCTGGGGGAGCGCCGCCTTTTGAATCAAGTTTCGAGGACGAAACGCTAGGAGAGGGGGAGGTGATGTTACAACACCAACACAGCCGCATTAGCGCAAGGCGGATGTGACAGGCAGAATCCGAAGGATTATCAAACACCAATCAATCTCGAAATGATCACCCAGCAATCTGGGGAAACGCTTAATCCGGACGGATTCCTCCACGCAGAAAAATAGTTCAGTTATACACTACTACACCATATGGGCAACCATCACCACCAGTCACC